TTATACGATATTTTCATCTTTTACCATTATACTTTTGCATTCGTATACGTCATCACTTAAAAATATTAGCAAGTCTAAATATGTATGAAAGGAACACATGAAAGGAAAAGACAAAGTTAAATCCTAAGATCCAGAAAATGGTGTAGGCAACGCAGGCCTCATGAATCGATGGCTTTTTCCTTGTCAAAAGTTTCGAGAAACTGATAAATGGTGGTGACGGAAAGCAAGATTCCGGTCCCTGAGCCAATAGCTCCGGTGAGGTCAGCAAGAACAGTGAGTGCACCAAGACACATTCCTCCAAAGGCGGCTGCTGTTGGTATATAGCGGTCAAGCTCCTTGTGCATATTGGAGTCTCTGTTTCCACTCATCTCCATCCGTTGCTCCTTGAGCAGCTTGGCCACGTCTCCAGCAGAGGAACCAGAGACTTGAATCCACGTCTTTGAGAGAAACGCACAGGCAGAGAGCATGAAGACTATGTAGAAGAGTGCGTGGCAAGGATGAGCTGCCATATCCGCCAAGCCTGTTGGAGCTGTGATCAAGTAAGCGAGACCACCGACTGGCAGGGATCCTCTCCACTGTCCAAGCAAGTTCACCAACAAGTTGCCACTGAATTTGTTGTAGAGAAGCTGAGAGATGAAGTAGAGATTCGAGACGAGAGCGGATTGGAGAATGATGGGCATGTTGGAGGTGTAGAAGAGCTTGATCGGGTAACTAGAACCCCCTTGTCGGGAGTTCTTTGACTTGACGGGCAAGACGACGCGGAAGCCTTGGAAGTAGACGACGATGAGGAAGACCAAGACCGTCGCGAGCAAGTTTGTAACGTTTGGAAGGCTTTGCCTGAAGAAAGCTTGTCGGATGCTTGACTTGGTTATCAAGTTATGGAAGAGCGAGATCATAGCGCCTTCGAACTCGGGTCTAGAGCGTCCTGTGTTGTTTATTGTGACGGGGCTAAACGCTTTCCAGATGACGCTCTCGCAGAGATTGGTCGCTATGAAAAGAGAGATGGCAGAGCCAAGACCGTATCCCTTTTGGAGAAGCTCGTCGAGACATATAACGATGATTCCGGCGAAGACAAGCTGGAAGACGATGAGAAGTGCGTTTCCGACACCGAGCTGAGCAACAGGACCGTACATACCAGAGAGAACGTATGTCATGGCTTGACCGAGGGTTATCAGAACGCTGAGAAGCTTCTGAGCAGCGTTCAAGAGAGCCCGATCCTCCTTGTCGACCTGAATAATCTTTGAGCCTGTCAAGAGCTGCATCACGAGCCCTGATGTGATGATGGGACCGATACCGAGCTCCATGATGGTGCCGCGGCTCGATGCGAGAATGGCACGCATCCAGTAGAACGGATCCGCACCGGTCGTGGAGTGGATGCCGTAGAGAGGAAGCTGACTACAAACGAGAAACACAAAGAGAGTGGTCAAAGTGTAGATCACTTTCTCCCTCAATGGAACCTTCTTATTCCCACTACCGCTCTGCACTTCTGGCAGAAATCGCAAGAACGGCTTCACCATATGCAATACACGAAACCCTCCTCCCATGTTT